CACCATGGTACCTGCACCTCTGAATACATTTGAGACAACAGTGTATGGTGTAGTAAAAGGGCTGAGTAGTCAGTCATACTTCCAGGTGACAAGCTAGTAACAAACTACATGAGTCATCTGGTTCTTTTTTTTTTTTTTTTAATCTGGAATGTTTTGTATGATACCAGTTTATTTTTCTGCATTATGCAACTATTTCAGTTTCTAACAAGTGTGGGGTTTTTTTTTGTTTTGTTTTTTTGAGTTGCACAGTCTGGTTCTCTTTGGTTCTCTTTTCATCTCTAACCTGTGCCTCTAGCTTACTTCTGCTTGGCTCATCAACAAATAGGGGTCTTGAATTGAAAACCTTGATTTTTAAACCCAAAACAGCATTGGGAATGCACTTGTTCTGTTAACATTTAATATACTTCAGTGAAAATGGATTAGTTTGAGAATTTCTTTCAATTCTTGAGAAAAGACCAGTACAGACTTGAATTCTGAACAAAATTGAGTCATTAACGGTATTTTAACAAGGATTATTTTATTACTGGACAACAAAAGGGAGTGGAAATAGGCCTAAAATTACTCAGTCTGAATCCAATCCAGATCAGCAATCATTTTTAGCTGAAGTACTGTAGCTGGGTGGGCTGAGCAGCTGTGTTGCTCAGTGTTACCTACATCCAAGAAGCCATCCAACTGGATTGCACTGCAATCCTTTCCAGAGCTCTCAGAAGTCACGGAAGCAGTGTCTCATTTAAGATAGTTCATTCCTTTTGAATATTTAAAAAGTGTCAGGATAGTTGGGTAGTTATCCTTACTTTTGCTGGAATGGCTTCTCTGTTACTAAATAACTGAGGTGATGGGCTCAGCGATTCAGTTTCCAAATACAACAACTTCACAAGTATGGAAAAGGATGAACAATGTCCTGAAGAGACACTGTGATCCATCAGACCTTGAACTAGCTCTGCTACAGACTTGCTGTGTATTCATAAGCAACTCATAATTCTTACTGCCTCTGGACTGCACATTGTCTGTGTGCTGCTATAGGTGTTCACAGAATAGAGGTCTAGTTGCTGTTGAATGCAACCTGAATAACAATGATATAGTTTAGGTTCCTGAGGCACAAGTTTGGTGTTATTTGCATTATTAATATACTTCACTTTTTCTATGCATCTGTTGTTTTTTTGTGTGTGTGTTGTTGTTTTTTTTTTTTTAAAAAAAAGAGATAATGATAATAATCCCCTCAAATTAGAATTAGAAGAAATAAACAAGCTAATGATTGTAGAGTACAATGAGCTTCTCAGTGGACTACACTACGCTTGCATCAAGTGACAGCAGCAGGATTCTTGCTGATAATTACATTTCTGTACAGCATTTCTTACCAATTGTTCTCAAACTATTACTTGGTACAGTGCATTCTCCCATTTCTCCTTTTGTTGCTTCAAGCTTCTTTTAAAGTTTTCTTCGTGCTTACCAACTTACTAGATATTTCACTTTTTTGTTGCTTTCATCACAGGTGGCTAATGTTCCATTTGTCACTGGCACACTGAGGATGCAGTGTAATCATTAAGTTAATAACCATTTTAACTATGCTAGTCTACATTTAAATTGAAGCAAACATATGCATAAGTAGCTTCTGTTTTACCTCTGCACTCAATCTCATTATATGTAATAGCTCAATAATCTTATTTCTATATAGTAATTATTTTCATGTTAATATCTTTTTGTGCATGGAGTAATAATGTTTTACTTGTTTCTTTGTCACTGGAAATTATCCTGGGGATTCTACAGCATGGGATAATTCAATCCTGTCACTAGCTGTGACTAATCTGTGTTGCTTTCTCTTTTGCTTTATGAATTCTGGCTCATTACCAGACTGAGCTTTGATTTCTGTAATAACAATATATGCTAAAAAAAAGAAAAAAAGAAAAAAAAATTATTGAGACATCTGCTTTAAATAAAATGAAATGTTTCTTCTTTCTGTTATGAAAAGGTAAGAGACTTGTGCGCGAAGCTGTACAGAACCATGTCTCAGAGCACTAAAGGTGTCATTCATCACTAGGGCAGAGCTAGAGCTTTACTTGAAGCCTTAATAATGCTAACTTATTCATTTCCAAGAGGTTTCATTGCAGGAGCACAGAACATTTTATGAGCAATAATTATGGCCAGAAGCAGGCCAGTTATCTTCAATACTAGAAGGGAAGTTCAGGCACAAACAGGTTGGTGATTTTTGAGAATCACAACAGAGAAGGTATATGGTGGGAATCCTGACCTGTGGCCTCTTTAGTGGCTTATATTTCCACATATCCTCCCACTTATTTTCTACTGTTTCAAAAATTCCAGGAAATACTATGTTCCAGTTGTGCATTTTCCCCTCAAAGCCTGTCTTAAAAATGCATATTTTTCAGTGAGAGCCAAAGTGCATGTCATACTGCAGTTCTACTGAGTTTGTGAGATCTATGGACTCACTTATATAAAGTAAATGGGCAGCTGTCAGAGGAGCTCATTTACTCTTGAACTTTTAGGAAGGGAGCTTTAGGAAAGCTGAAGACTTGATGCAAAATCATATCATTCCTTAACAGTGTACAGATAAACATGCATTAAGTATGGACTATATCCTTCAGTTCCTTCTTGGAAGACCACATGTATCCCTCTAGAACTGGCTCTTTAAAATCTCTTGCAGCACCACAGTATCACCATACTCTGTATCCTCACCTCCACATTTCTTCCTGTTTCAACTGTCCTGTTTGTTTGTTGGTTTATTTTTTTTTCCCCTCAAAGTTGCTTTAATTTAACTCTTCTTATTTTTCTTTCCAGTCTGAAATCTCTATGAGAATTTATTTACATGGGACATGTACTGCTGTGGAGATAAACTGGAATATCCTTACGTCTCTGTGTTGTTCTAGTTGCATCTCTAAGTTTGCACACAGGTTGTGAACTGAGATCTTACAGTTTCTATATTTATTTACCTCTACTTTTAAACCTGTGGTGCCTTGCTTATATTTTTTGCTTCCTTTGAAATCACTGTATAATTTTGGATACCTTTCAAGAATATTCTCTCTGGTTTAAACACACGTTGAGTAGGATGTGAAGGAGAATCTGTGACTGTACTGCAAGTGGTCAGACTAGACTAGTGCTTGTCACAATAATTCTAGCACTGACTCTAGGCACATATGGCATAAGGTCTGTTCATTATTCCCCTCCTGAAGTGCTGAAATCAGTGTGATCTGACCCAAAGGGTAATACTGGGGCACTTAGAACTAGAGTTGCAGAGTGGGAATAAGATAGCTCCTTTCCCCCTTCCCCCCCCCATTTTCTGAGATCTTGAGAATTAATTTTAAAATATGTATATGTGTAATGTATCTGCGGCTCAATTTCTAATTACCAATATTATTGGCTTTAATTCATGGTAGCTTCCTTTCTCCTACTTAATATATTTTTGAGAAATAAATTTTCATCAAAGCTAGTTTTGCTACAGTTAAAATAACTCAACAGCCCTGAAAAGTAACAAGAGGCAAAACTATACTGAGAGGATCAATGTTTTATCGAACAGCAGTTAAAGGAATGTAGAACATCTGTTGAGTATTATATTGCAGTTCTGACCACCTGTTAGGTAGGTGGATTTTCAGAACACTCAGGAGCCTTACTCTTTACATGTCACTTTACTTTGTCAACAACAGAGCTGTAACAAAACTTCTTAAACCATCCTATACCTCAAGTAAAAATACCCCAACAAACACAATGATTTCTGATAAGAGAAACCATCTTCTAGAGGCAATAAATAGCCTTACTCTACCAACCAGTTTTGCAACCTGTTAAAAACAACTCCTGTCAAATGGCTGCTGTTGTATGAGAGCGATAGTCATTTTTCCCCCTCAGTATTCTGTTCTCTCAAAAAATTAGTGACTACTTCTATTTTTTAATTTAGTTCCTTCCTTCTGAACACAAAAATAGCAGGCAATACTAAGAGGATAACTTAAAACAACAAGAAAGCCAAAAAAGCCTCTTTGCCCCTCAAAAAAGAAAAAACAAAACAAAACACTCAAGAAAAAAAAAATAGGGCCTAAAGTATTTATTTTTCTATCTTCTAGAATTCCATTAATTTGTTTCCATATTGGGAGAACAGGTCTTTGTAAACTAAGCTGATGCAGAGAGATGTTTTCTGATGATTTTTTGAGTGAGATTTTGTAGTTTTATTTCTATTCCATGTTCCTGTTGGAAATTCTTCTTAGCTTAGTCTGTCATGAGGGACTTTGGAATTCATCTCATAATTAGTTGAGCAGGTTTTTTTTATTCCAGATACTTAATGACTCCTGTGTTCTGCATAATCATTTTGACCTCTCCTTTTTCTTTTTTTTTTTCCCCCCCTTTTTCATGGGGTTGGAACAGGCCTCCTTTCAGGGATATGTCTGCCAAAATACAGAGGCACTCTATGCATTAGTCTCTCAAGTCTTGTTTGAAATTAATCAGTGCTCTCAGTAGGAGCACCCACCTCCTTGGAGGAATGGGCCCTACATCAGTTCCAGTCACATCTTTAGCTCTTCTCCGGGCTGTGCTGTTGATCATGCTGAGATAATGGAATGGCATAAAGTGTTTCAAGAATTGAAGATGGGAAACTCTCATCTGTTTACACGGCCTGCGCTTGGGCTAAGACAGGACTCTTCATGCTTGCAAGTAATTGCTTTGAATGAGCTTTGTAGCTAAGGCAATTCTTTCAAAAGTCATACCAACTAAGGAACCAGAGCTGAAGTTAACACACTGGGTTAGGATTCCCCAAGGTTATGATAGATTCTGACTAGGAATAAAGGTCACTTGGCTTAGGGATTCTTCAGAATGGTTACACTGAAAGTAATAAGCAAAACACTACAGAAACCAGTGAATGTAGCACTCAGCTAGAAGTTGCATTAATAGCACTAGTTTTAATCCCTAGCCAGATAGCTCTGTGGTTAAATTTGCATTCCTAAAAAGCCCTGTTAAGATAGTTTGACCAGCTTCATTTATTTTCTCTCTTCTTTCACATGCAGATCAACTTGACATCATTTCAATGGCTGAAACAACAATGATGCCTGAGGAAATAGAGCTAGAGATGGCAAAGATCCAGAGACTTCGGGAAGTCTTAGTCAGAAGAGAATCAGAACTCAGGTTTATGTAAGTATCAATTCCTCTGGGAAACACTATGCAAAATTAATCAAAATAGGAAAGAATGCTACTTAGAAGACTTTTATCTGCTTGACATTTTAAAAGGAAGAAAGATAAAGAGCATCCCAGCTAGGTGAATGCTTGCAAAATGCCACTGGGAAATGATTTTTGTAGTTGCAAAGGAAATTGCCTTTTTTATTCAGCATGATTTGCAGACGATAAAAATGGGATGTTTTACTTACAAAAGGAAACTTTAGCAAAGTACGTGTCTACAGAGCATATTTTTATACCTGACTTCAATCCTTTGTGAAAAGGATATTTGTCTGAAGGAAATATTAACAGGTAGGGGATTGGAGCTTCTAAAGTCTAAACTATTTCAGGCTTTATTCCTCACTTCATTAGTGGTCTTAGTTTGTGACACAAGAGAGCACGCTGTGTTCCAGAGTAACAGCAGCCAAGATTTGACATTTGTAAATGAAAGCTATTAAGTTATAAACACAAAATACATTTCCATAGATCAAATAAAATAACAATACTCCATGAGAGATTTTCAAAACTGCCAAAAGGGTCAGGCATAGGAGCCCAAATGAATGTTAATGAATACTAATACAGTTCTGATGATGGATACCATAGAGTTTGTGTTCCTAAATCACTGAATTTATAAGATAAAAACTTATTAATAGGAAGTGTATTATTTTGAAGTTCCATCTGTCTTTGAGTACCCGAGATTAGAAACTAATGTCTTAGCTGACAGGCAAGGAACCTCGTAAGTCTAAATCCTGCAAAACAAGGTGCCTTGGCATTAATGAAGCTGCTGTAGGAGCTTCAAATTCACTTGTTTCTTGTTGCAGAATACAAATATAAAACTGGTACTTTAACCATGATTGCTGGAGGTTAATTTCAGTGCCTTGACTTACTTGTACAGTCAGAAGTTGGAAGCCTTACCATCAAGCAGCATAGACATCTATCTTGACTATTATTATAGAAGATACCAAACCAGACCAGAGATTTTTGGCAATAAAGACTAGTAACAGTTACACTGTCCTTTAATAGTGCTGTAGTGGTATAAATAAACAAGAACAATTTGTCACACCTGCTCCTGGTACTCACTAAATAAGTACTTGATTATTGGCTTGTACATAAATATAATCTACAAAAATCCATATCACTGAACCCAGTAATTCTCATGACATTTTCTATATCAAAAAAAGCATTGGGACAAAGATGTTTTGTTCCTACCAAAGCATGAACAAAATGATGAACTAATTAATTCCATATCAGTTACACATCCAGCCATAGATTATATGTCCTTTCTAAAAAAATAATAGTTCTTCTGACTGTCTTGCTGAATTTCTTAGTTTTTGTATTCACACGTAGCCAGATCCCAAAGCTAGAAAAAAATCATACTGTAGATTTACTTCAAAGAAAAAAAAAAAAAATAGAAAAAGGAAAAAAAAGTAAGCTGGAGAGCTTATGTTCTGAATGTATCATCAGCACTAATGATGCTCTCAGCTTTACTTAAGCCAGCAACTACCACAGCTCTTCACAGCATGGACACTGTATTTTATAAGCATTTGCAGTCAAGAATAAGAAACAAAACACTCCTAACCAAACCTGTTTTTGATGAAAATCAGTGCAAACTCTTCCCCTGTTAGAGCTATGGAGGTTTAATCCCTAGAAATAACTTGTTCTAACTACTAATTGAAATTAATGTTTTCCTTGAAGAAAAAGTACAAAGCAGACTGAGATAGAATAATAAAACTCACTATCACTGATTTTTTTTGAAACTGCTCTGCAACAATGTTTATTAAGTTTCAATACTGTTACTATTATGTCAGTATTTTGCCTGAACAAATACAGTAGCCATAAAGTAAAGAGCATGCAGCGGAGAACTGTTCCAGGTTAGCATAGCAGCCAGTACAAATGCAGAAGAAACAGCTCTAGGAAGGCCTTGATGCTCAGAGGGATGGAAGTCAATTTGTATGTTCTCACTCTTCTATACATGAATCAGCTGATATGCAAGATCGTCATTAATATAATATTCTTTCAGGCAGTTCCTCAGCTATTATCTGTATAGTACGTCTCTTGGGTTTTCTCAGCCTCAAGGAACACAAACTCCAATGAGGGAGTCCTTAGCAAGATATACAGACAGCTTTGCTTACATTGAAAGTTAAGGCACTGAGGCCTTATTTTAGTGGGTGTTAATGTAAGGATTAACATTACCTTTCCTCCGCTAAATAAAGTAACACCAATGACTAATGAAGTCTGTAGGACAACAAAAGGGATAAATGAAATATGTCACTCCTCTGTCACTGCAGCAATATACATTACTGTGCTCACAGGTGGTAACACTTCAGTATCCAATAAAATCATTATAGAGTGGTTCATCATCACTAACAGCTTTAGAAGAGTCACCCTATAGGGTGAAAGAAAGAGTAGGATGGCAAGGAAATCAAAGCCAGATAATTAATCATCATTATTAACTCAAAGCAAGACCTGGTAGATCTGAGGAAAGGAATCAGGCAGTGGAATTAAGCTTAGAAAAAAAATTGATCTAATGGTATCAAGCGTAAAAGGCAGCACTGAGCAGTGTTCAAAAACCATATACAAATACAACACTGTGTATGTGGTTCTTTCTGATATAAATCCAAGCAGATTCTGTTTACCCTCTTATCTTCCAGCCAATGTCTATCACACATATCAGTAACTCAACACTTGGATTTTCAGTTTTCGAAATTAAAGTGAAGAAAACACCCATTATATTTGAACAAATTTCACATACATTTCTGTGATCACGTATTGATTTAAAGTACCAAAACTTGTTCTTCTAGTTAATTAATTCCCCTCTTTTTAGTTCTATCTCTTTGCAACAGTCTCACTGAATAAACATCTTACTTTATGCTATACAGGATGTTAAAATTACTTACAGCTTTGCTCCAAATCAACGATAGCAAGATTCCTCTGTCCAGGAAGAAAATTTCCACCTTTTGAAAGAGATTTGGAGTCAGAAACAGGCACTCTCATAATACTGAAATCAGTCACCAGATAACAGGCTTCACCTGCAGGTTCATGGTCCTGGTTAAAGGGGAAGGGCATCAATAATCCCTTTAATAAGGAACACACTTTATTCTTCAATTTTAGAGGGAGCCCTTTCCACTGTGGATCCACAGGAGGCAATGCCAACTGCCTGCTGGCTCTCGTGGGTGAAACAAGCATTTAGGCTGTATGAGGAAAAATGAGCCGTGCGGCAGCTCACCCACATGATACAAAATGGCCACCCAGTCTGCGGGAGCTCAGCCACGCAATACAAAATGGCCACCCAGTCTGTGAGAACTCAACCGCGTGATAGAAAATGGCTGCCCAATCTGTGGGAGCTTAGCCACGTGATACAAAATGGTCACCTCATCTCTGGTACCATTGCACAGACCCTTCCCTTGATACTTACCTTCCCCTTTCAGTGGTTTTCAGGATTTTTTCCTTCCTTACAAGCTCTCTGTGCTTCCTTTACTTTGTCCCAGGCTGTATGGCACAAAGGCTGTGGGCTGCCAGCTAAGCTCTCAAAGCACTGTGTTTTTCCATGACCATCTCTGATGACTATGACTACTGCTGACAGCTTTCAGAAACTGCATCATCCCCCACCAGTGGAAGATTTGGGCATAGACTTCATCAAAATTGTCTTAAAATTCAGATGATATCCTTAGGATGGTGTTACAGATTGTATTGCTGTACTGGGCTCACAAATTATATGTGGGCCACAGCTCCCTAGAGCAGCATTTACTGTTTTTAGTGCCAGACCATTAGTTGTGTGTTGAAGAGCAATACCTGTGTTTTCTCTAAGATGGTTTGGTGGTACCAAAAAGGGCAGCTTTCTGATTTTTCTTGTTTTTAGTGATACAAAGAAATATGGGAAGCAGAATCAGCTGAAACAATCACTTTAGAAGTCGCAGTGTTTCTCAGACCTTGGTGCAACCTGCATATCAGATATCAGCCTTTGTAGGCCTGTCCTTTGCTTTGGTCCCTGCTATTGTTGCCTCCTTTAAGAAAAAGGAGGGCAGCTGAAGACAGCTGTGCTCTTCCCATGTTATTTCCAGATGAATACACACTTGCTATGGAGAATTATCTGAAGTTTATTTGAAGCACATTTTCAGATTATAAAATTAAGATTTCCTCCATTAATTCATGCCTGTATTTGCATTGTACAATCAAGTTTTAAACAAATGCCTATGCACAAAATCTACACAACTTATACTGTGTAAATTCTTTAAGTTATGCTGGATGCCCTCCAGCCAGACCAGGAAATCAAAACACAGTTTAAACTCATCATCTGCTATCTCCAGCTCTTCCGGGTTTATTTCCAGAAGAACCAAAGACTCAGCCCGCATTGATAGGAGGCAGACAATATGTACGTAAGAGCATCAGTTTATAGCTAGCTGGCATTCCCTCTCATTCTTATCTCATACTTCCCTCAGCTGATTCCCTAAAATGTTCTCTACAAGATGAGTTTTGGGTCAAAATGTAAATTTTCAATCTGTCTTTGCGCCTAAGGAGAGTAAGCATACCACTTTAGAACATGCGTGCTCTCCCTTTCAAATTCTTATGTCCCACTTCCATTTATTCTTTCCTAGTGAGATAACAGACCCAGAAGCCAAGAGAGGTGCTCATGTGGCATTCTCCTCATTGCACATTTAATGTGTTACTGCTATGCATGCTGTGTGTGGCTTTATAAGCAGTCTAAGATTCATATCACTGCAGAGCATGGAAATTTACATGCTGAATGACATGATTGTAAAAATGGATAATACATGCGTTAGCTCCATTTAGGCAGCAAAACCTCAGACCACTGATTCAGTAACAGATCAAAACTGATGCTCAGAATCATTTGTAGTGCAGAATCCATGTATTTTAAAATATATTAGTATATTCTCACCCACTAAATATTAATAGCATAGGTGAGATTTCATCATCCACAGTTACTGCCTTTGGCTGTGAACAGAAAAGGCACTGAGTTC